CTCTTGGCCTGAGCCATGCTAGCCACCCCCGGCCCCAGCCCATAGCTTTTCTCCCCTCCCCAGCCAGCTGCTCCTCAGATTGTGGTATTTTGACCCTGATGCCATGCCAGTGCCAGTCTCCAGACCAAATGCACGTGTTATCTTATTTCTTCCTGATGCCACACTCTGAGGAAGCCGAGGTGCCAATAAGTGTCGCCACGGATCAGCCAGGGTCATACCGCTATGCTAGTAAGAGGCAGAGTTGCAAATTGAATCTCGACTCTGTAAACATAACATCTGGAGTTCCTCCCTCCAGAGACACAGCCGGGATTAGCCGCAGAGTTAGAGTGGGGACCTGTGCACCTCGGACCCAGCAGTGCTGCCGCAGCACCTTGTCCCTAAGGGGAGTGTCAGTGGGTGATGCCACCTCCCTTCTGAGGCTGTTGTGATGATTAAGTGAGCTAATTTTTATAGACCATGTGGTGGTGCCTGCCTAACAGACACTGAACACTCAGGAACAGAAATGGCCGTTACAAGTCAGCTTCGTTGGCACACACCTGTGATCTCAGCATTTGGGAGGATCACAATTTGGGGGCCAACCTCAAACATAACAAGATACTGCCTCCAAAACAAGAAAGAAAAAAGATGGTTGCTACTAATCTTGTTTGTTTGAGACAGTAACCAACCCTATAGCCCAAACTGTCTTTGTAGCCTCGGCTGGCCTCCAATTCAAAATCCTTGTGCCTCAGCATCCAAGAGCTAGGATTATATCTAGGTGGCAGAGCTACATGCCTTTTAATCCCAGCACTCGGGAGGTGAAGGCAGGCAGATCTCTGAGTTCAAGGCCAGCCTAGTCTACAAGTTCCAAGACAGTCAGGGCTACACAGAGGAAACTCTCTGTCAGAAACAGAGAATGAGATGGAGGGGCTAGGTAGGATTACAGGTGTGAACCACACTATACCCAGCTACTAATGCTTCTCCAAGAAATACCTCGAGCTCAGTCAAAGCCTCCACTTCCTATGTGCCATTAACTCTGCTGTCAGCTCCTCTATTTGAATTGCCCAATTCCAGGGAGATGGAGCACGTTTTCTGCACTGAGATAGTCATGGCTGGGGTACAGTGGTCCACCAGAACCCAGTGCTCAATCCCCAATGACCCTTGGGTATGACCTAGGTATATAGTGGTGGAAGAGGTGTCTGGGCCACAGGTATCCTAGGTCCCAACAAGGATCTAGGTACATTATTTTCCCAGGGGCCCGTCAAGAGATTGCAGTGTTCAGGCTAGAATTCCAAAGCTCTTGACAGGCTAAAATGGGATCATGGCATTTGCTAGGGTTTGGGGATGCTAGGTCAGAAGGAACCAAAAGCTTGGATTTGAATAACCATGATCCCATTTTAGGGTGACATCTCGTATAGACCCCAATGAAGTAGATAATTTGGCATGGCCAGCTATTTAAAAAATATAACAATAGAGCTGGAGAGATAACTCAGCAGTTAAGAGCATTGGCTGCTCTTGGAAAGGACCCAGGTTCAATTCCCGTGGTGGCTCGAAACTCTCTGTAACTCCAGTCCCAGGGGATCTGTGGGCATCAGGAACTCACATGGTGTACAGACATATGTGCAGGCAAACCACCTGTACACATGAAATCAATGTGTATAAGCAATAATAATTGTGGTTGGTGGCATACACCTGTAATTCCAGCACCAGAAAGTGGAAGCAGGAAGTTTATCCTCCACTACATGGAGGATTGGATGCTAGCCTGGCCTACATTAGACCCTGCCGATAGGAGAGACAGAGACAGAGACACAGAGAGAGGCCGAGGGAATGACTACATGGTGAAACATTTGCCTAGTGTGATTAGTATCCTGGGTTTGATCTCCAGCACCACAAAGAAACCCAACAGTAGAAATGAGCACACAGGGATTTTTCTGAGTCTCCAGCGATGGTCTCCTGGGGCAGACTTACTTCCCCCATTCCTCATCACTGCTAAACAAAGGTTCCAGGAATTGGCCTTCCCACCCAGTCCCACTGAGTCAGACAGGCTGCTGCCATCCCCCACCCCCGCAGAAGACTGTATCCTCTCTGTACCAAGCAGACGACTTCTCTTGAACATACTGCTTTGGACTTAGAATCTGAAGGATCAGGCTGGAGAACAGGCTCAGCAGTTAAGAGCACTGGCTGAGTAAACTTTAAACCCAGCACACAGGAGACAGAGGTTGGCAGATCTCTGTAGTCTAGGCTAGTCTGGTCTATAAAGCAAGGACCCAGGTTTGGTCAGCAGTACCCACACGGCTCTCAACACCCTGCAACTCCAGTTTCAGGGGTCCTGATGCCCTCTCTGTCCTCTCAAGACTCTAGGCATGCATGTGATGCCCAGGCATCCCTGCAAGTAAAGCACCAATACACATAAAATAAAGAGTGGACTGGGTGTTGCTCTTTGGCAGAGTGCTTGCTCAGCATGCCTGAGGCCGGTGTTTGGTCCCCAGTGCTGCAAAGAAGAAAGTCAATTTGAAATGGATCCAAGGGAGGTAGCTCATGCTTTCAGTCTCTTGTAGGCAGAAGCAGAGGATCAGGATGTCCACTCCAGCCTGGGCTACAAAATGTCCAAACAATAAAATCACCTAGAATTCTATACTTAAAAGGGTTTAAGATTGAGAGCTGGAGGGTAAGTACTAAGTCTGTGAATGAGGACTTTGCCAGGCGGTGGTGATGCACTCCTTTAATCCCAGCACTTCAGAGGCAGAGACAGGCAGATCTCTGTAAATTCCAGACCAGCCTGATCTACAGAGTTCCAGGACAGCCAGGATTGTTGCACAAAGAAACTCTGTCTGGGGAGGGGGGTGGGGGAACAACGATGCAGGGGCACAACCAAACCAAGAAACAAAAGAATGAGGACCTGAATCCAGACACCCCTCCCCCAGCATCTACCACAGCCCAGGCTGGGTTGTACATGCTTGTGATCCCAGCACTGGGATGGAGACAGGAGGATAGTGTGGGGGTGGAGGAGGCTGCCCTCTGGTCAGCCAGTTAGTCAAGTCAGCAAGCCCCAGGTTCAGTGAAAAACTGAGGAAGGCGTCCCTCGGTGACCTCTGGCCTACACACATAAAAGGGTTAAGATGGTGAATTTTCTGTTTTTACCACAATGAGAGAAAAACTACTGCTTTCAACTAAAAGGAAATAATACTATTAAATCCAAACTAAGAATATTAAACAGTTTATAATTCTCATGCACCGTGTTAATAAGCAAATATTTGAACTAGGAAACATTAAAATTAACATTAACTTGGACTTAGTATTAGCTCTGCACTAACAGTGTTTATTTACTAGTAAAGCTTTTTTTTTTTTTTGTTTTGGTTTTTCAAGACAGGGTTTCTCTGTAACTTTGGAGCCTGTCCTGGAACTCTATAAATCAGGCCTGCCTCTGTCTCCTGAGTGCTGGGATTAAAGGTGTGTACTACCACTACCCAGTACTATTAAAGCATTTTAAAGAACCAGCATAAAGATAGAAAACCCAACAGGAAGTAATACTGAGGACGAGTGTCCTAGAGAGTGTGATGTAGTGCTGAGATGGGGCATGCAGATCTGAGTTCGGTCAGTAGAAGAATGATTCATAAAAAAACAGCCTAGTAAAGCAAACAAGCACACTGAAAGAAATACCAAGGTAGCATCAAGCTTGGCATGGTGGTGCACACCTGTAATCCAGTACTTGGACAGCTAAGGCAAGAGGACGGTGAATTTGAGACCAGCCTGGACTGCAGAGCAAGATCCTATCCAAAAACAAAAATGCAGCAAAAGTAAAAGTAACTGAATTATAGATCAAATACTGCTGGGTTCATTAGTCAAACGTGTGCTATTATTTTTATTTACTTATTTAAGATAGGGTCGCCGGGTGGTGGCAGCAAATTCCTTTAATCCCAGCACTCGGGAGGCAGAGGCAAGTGGATCTCTGTGAGTTAAGCATATGCCACCATGCCCCACTATGCCCTTGCTCTCCTCCTCTTCTGTCTGTCTGTCTCTCATTTATTCTTTCTCTGTGTGTGATTTCCATGAGGGAATGAGAGGGCAGTCTGTAGGAGTTGGTGGTCCTTGAATTTGGGCTCTGGGGGTCCAGCTCAGGTCTGTAGTCTTGGCTGTGGGCTCATTTTCCCGGCCTCTTGCTGTTTTAGGGTGTGGGGTTTCTTGGACTGTTGTTTGTTTGTTTCTTTTAATGGAGTTTCACTATGGGCCTGGCTGGCCTAGAACTCACCATGTTCACTAGGCTAGTCTTAACTCAGAGATACTCCCTTGCCTCTTCCTTTGCCTCAGAGTGCAGGAATTAAAAGTGTACACCACCATACCCAGCTCCTCTTTTGTTGTTGGTTTTTGTGTTTGTTTGTTTGTTTGTTTTTTGAGGCGGGATCTCTTACATACCTAGACTGGCCTCAGACTCCCAGTGTAGTTGAGGGTGACCTGGGGACCAGGTTTTAAGAACGGGTTAATGTGTGTGCCGCCATGATAGAGTATGTGGCAGTACTGGGGCTTTGGGCATGTTAGAAAACACTGTATAACTTATTGAGAACGAATGCTGGGCGTTGGTGGTGCACGCCTTTAATCCCAGCACTTGGGAGACAGAGGCAGGCGGATCTCTGTGAGTTCAAGGCCAGCCTGGTCTCCAGAGGGAGTGCCAGGATAGTCTCCAAAGCTACGAGAAACCCTGTCTGAAAAAACCAAAAAAGAAAAAAAAAAAAAAAAAAAGAAAGAAAGAAAAAGAAAAAGAGTGCATATGTAAATAGAGTATCTGAAAATAAGGAAGGCAGTTACTTATAGTTACAAGAATCACATGGCTCTGTTAATAAAGTTAGTATTGCTAAGATTTTAAAATCGATAATAATCCTTTTCCTGAGAACTGGGGCTCCTAAAAGAACAGGCCCAAGTCAGGAGAGCAGTAGCCATGCTGGAAGGGTGGTGAGTGGGACACAGGAGTCGGCCTCAACAGACAGACCTGCCAAGGGACCCCTCGGTGGCTTCTTTTTCCTTCACAGAACTGATCGAGTCCCTCAACCAAAAACCACAGTCTGCCGGTGACCAACCCCAACCCACAGATACATCCCACACCACCCACAGGAAGGCAGGCGGGACCGAAACCCCCTCAGCCAACGGCGAGGCAGGAGGAGGAGAGAGCACCAAGGGCTACACCTCAGAGCAGGTGGCAGCTGTGAAAAGGTAGAGGCCATGGGGTGGGGGGGCCTGGGGAGAGCCGGGGAAGCCTTTCTCACTTCATCCTGTGGCTTGGAAGAGTCTTGGAAGATGGAGGAGGTTCAGCTTCATTTCCCACAGGGTGGGAGCTGCGGCCTCGCTGCCCACCCACCACCATAACCGCTGACGATACAGACTGGAGATACTGCTAATCGGTGCCTTCCTCTGCCCTTGGCCACCAGCCCTAGGCCTCCCACAGTTCTGTTTGTCACACAAAGACACTGCCATCTTGCCCTCCAAAGTCTCACCCCCACCCCCAGCCCCAACAAAGGCCTTTTTATAGACCAGAGCCTGTGGGCAGGAGGCAGAGGCAGAGCTATGCCACCAAGACAGGCAACCCTGCAGAGTGAAGCTCTCCCAGGCCTGACACCACCAACCAGGACCACTCAGGACTAGGCCCTCCCAACCCTCCTTTCTCCCACCAGCTAGCATCAGAATTCTTCTGAGGTCAAGTTCTTACCTCCTGACAGGCAAGCTGAGTGAGTGTGACCAAGTGGTTTGTCAAAACCAGGCACAGTTTCAACCATATGCATCTAGCAGCTATAGCTGATAGAGGCAGACTCTAAGGACTGGAAGGCCTAGAGAACACCAACAAGGGTAGACCCTCCAAGGGACAAGGAAGGGGGCGGGGGGGGGGTAATATTGCAACAAAAGCAGCATTTCTTCAGAGTTCTGTGCTCGGGGTAAGCAGATGCCTACCATTGCTGTCAGCAAGATGCATCTGCCCCTAGCTGACAGACACTCCGGTCCTTCCAAGGCAGCTTCCAGCAAGGGAACCCCTAGAGGGAATGGATGCTGGCCTGGCCAAAGACAGCAGCTGCCCCTGTCAAATCCTAAGTGTATTCATGGTGTTGCCAGCAGGCCTTGCCCAGTTCCTCATGCCAAGGACCTCCCTGTGGCTCCCTTGCCCCTCAAGTCAGACAGCTGACCCTCGGCTGTGCCCCCTACACACACACACACACACACACACACACACACACACGCACGCACGCACGCACGCACGCGCGCACACGAGTGCGCCCTGAGCTGTGTGTCACACACTGCTTATTCCCACACCTCACCTTAGGCTCCCTGTCATATTCTTCTCCCTGTTTCAGGGTCAAACAGTGTAAAGATTACTACGAGATCCTAGGGGTGAGCAGAAGTGCCTCAGATGAGGACCTGAAGAAGGCCTACCGAAAACTGGCCCTCAAGTTCCATCCAGACAAGAACCATGCGCCTGGTGCCACGGAAGCTTTTAAAGGTAAGCCAGCCCTGAGGTGCCTGGGTGTATGTTAGTCTGCTTGTTTGTTTTCCCACAGAGACTGCACTGGCCTGGAACTCGCAGATATTCCTCTGCCTCTGCCTCCAAATTGCTGGGTTTAAAGGTGTGTACCAACATGCCCAGGCATTCGGGTGTTTTTTATCTCCTGTCTTAGAATACAGGGCCAATGCAGATGTAGCTTGGCCTTTAGAATCCAGACCAAGATGTGGGGGTAGAAGAAGGTAATCTCAGGTGTAATTGTGCAAGCTCAGAACCGCTCCCTGAGAAGGTTGCAGTAGCCACCTCTAGCCTTACAGACTGCAGAGTCTCACACAGTACCAGCCCTGCCTCCCCTTCATCTTCTGGGTTACAGGAGAAGAGCCAGCAAAGAGTTCCAGTGGCTCCTCCAGAGTCACACAGCACCTGGGGCAGGAGAGACTTGTGACTCACACATGGCAGCGGTTTCCCTGTACTGTGGGGTAGGGCACCCTGTAATGGAGGGCTTCTTCAGGACACTTGTCAGTGTCACCTTCCCACAACCTGTCCCGGGCCTGCACTGGGGACTGTTGATCTTTGGAATGGGTGCGTCACCTCTGGCCAGAACCATCAGCCATCCTTTATGCATGTAGATTTCCGTCTTTCCTCCTGTCTGGCACTCGTGTGCACTGCCTCTGTGCCAGCCTGTGTTGCGGGGCCTTGCATTTTCTTGGTCCCTGGGTACTGTTCCCTTTGGGGGTTAGCATGGCAACTGTAAGCCTTGTTGTGCAGTGCTGGGTCAAGGCTGTAGTCAAGAAGGAAGCCTGTGACAGTGATGTGGCCTTGTCACATGGAAAAGAGGATTCGTTCCTCCCTCCCAGGGCTACAAGCTCAGAAGCAAGCCTGTGGCTCAACTTGTGAGTGGGGCAAGCGGAGGGGAACAGGCCCTGGGAGGTGCTAGCCTTTTGCCCTGGGAGCTCTGGTGAGGAGGCACCAGTGCCAAGCAAAAAAACAGCAGCTGGGGCCTGGGCCCTGGGGAGAGCAGACTCATTCATCCTGGCCACCACAACCAGATGCACAGGAGTCTCCACCAGAAACCAGGGGGTTGTCCCTTCCCAGCAGTGTCTGCTGCTCCACTGTTTATAACAGAGGGTCTCGTGTGCATTATTGTGGCCACACTATGACTTTGTGATTATATTACCCTGTGTCAGGCACCACACAGGTGAGTGTGCAAGGTGAAAGAAATTGAAGCAGGTGTCATGCCAACAACCCCAGCGTAGAGGCAATAGAGGCAAGGGGATAAAGAATTGGAGGGCAACCTGGGCTACTTAACAAGTTCTGGGCCATTCTGGAAGTCTAGGTGATATAGTGGGAACCCTGGCTCAAAGAGGAAAAAAAAAATAAAGCCAGCCTGAGTGTTAATGCTCCTCACAGCCCAGAGTGCAGACCTGCTCCCCACTGCTCCCCAACACTTGCTCAGTGGGCAAATTGTCTCTGCCCCTAAGTAGTCCCCCCACCCCTAACACACACACACACACACACACACACACACACACACACACGAATAAACACTCTATAAGGAAGCAAGCTCCCCACTGCTCCCCAGAAGGAAGCAAGCTCTTGGCTATGTTGGCCAATCTGCACCCAACCTTCTAAGGCCTGATCTTTTCACCCCTTCCAGCCATCGGCACGGCATATGCTGTACTCAGCAATCCAGAGAAAAGGAAACAGTACGACCAGTTTGGTGACGACAAGAGCCAGGCTGCCCGACATGGCCACAGCCACGGGGACTTCCACCGAGGCTTTGAAGCTGACATCTCCCCCGAAGACCTCTTTAACATGTTCTTTGGTGGTGGTTTTCCTTCCAGTAAGTCCACAGGCAACGCCCCCTGGGGGTGATGGTGGGGTCTGAAAGTGGTAACCCCTGACTGCGTGCTTGCTCATTTCAGGTAACGTCCATGTCTACAGCAATGGCCGAATGCGATACACCTACCAGCAGAGGCAGGACCGCAGGGAGAACCAGGGTGATGTGAGTGACAAGAGGCTGAGTGGCATACCATGCCTTTCCCCGGAGGGGGGGGGGGGGGGGGGGGGGGGGGTGGCCCCTCATTGTAAAAAAAGCCAAGGAGCCATCTCTGCTCCTCATTCCCAGTGCCATTCTGCTAAGGGACACCAGAGGGAGCCACACTCCATGTTGCGTAATTCTTTGGCTTCTATGGGGAGTGTAAGACGGAAACTTCTCCACCTCCAGGCAGCTTCTAGTGTGAATAATTTTTGTGGAGTCCATTTGTTCTTAAGGCTGAGGTAACATTTTCTGAGCAATGGGGAGTTAAAACATCATGAGAGAATAAAAAGGCCTGCGTGGGTACTCAGCCTTCTAGAAAGTGAGTAAAAGCTTTATAACTAGGCAGTGTTTCAGACACATTTGGGATGCCATGGATCAACAGCCAGCTGGCTGAGACCCAAGCACCACCATTGGCGAGTGAAGAGCATTAAACAGAGGGACACAGGCTTGTGCGTGCTTCCTCCCTCCCCCCTCCTCCTCCTCCTCCTCCCACCTCCCTTCTCTCTCCCTCTACCCTCTCTCTTCCTCTCCTTCTCTTCTCCTTCCTGCCTCCTTCTCTCTTTCCCCCTCTCTCCTTGGACTCTAGGCAGTTGAAAACGACATTGAACTCCTGATATTCCTGCCTCTACCTTACAAATGCTGGGGTTAAGCTTCAGGCACCATGCCTAACGGATGTTTTGTTGTGGGTGGGCTGGTTTTGGTTTTGGTTTTTGAGACAGGAGTCCCACTATGTCTCTCTGGCTAGAACTTGCTATGTAAATTGCTCGTCTGGAGAGATCCGCCTGCTTCTGCAGCCTGAGTGCTGGGATTAAAGGCCTATGCCGCCATACCCAGCACTGTTTTTGGTTGAGGCAGGATTTTGCTATGTAACCATGGCTGGTCTGGGTCTCCAACTTTTAACTGTTCTTCTGTCTTTGCCTCCAGAGTGCTAGGATTATAGGCATATCTTTATATCTAACATACAGAGAGGGTTTTGTTTTTTTTTTTAATTTTATTTGCACTGGTGATCCATCTCCATGTATGTCTATGTGAGGGTGTCGGATCCCCTGGACAGTTGTGAGCTGCCCTGTGGGTGTGGGGAAATGAACCTGGGTCCTCTGGAAGAGCAGTCAGTGCTCTTAACTACTGCCATCTCTCCAGCCCCAGAAGAGGTTTTAAAAAAATCAAAATTACTATATAATGAATTTATTTCTAGTTGTCTTGTTTTTGTTCTAAGAATCAAACCCAAAGCCTGTGTGTGCTGGAAAAGTTATACACCACAGACTACATCCCAACCCTTTAATTAGCTGCTTTTCTATCGGCAGTATGTTTGTGTGGCTCGAAATTTAAAAGATACGGACTATGAAAGTCCGTCTCCCCAGGTCTGCCTCCCTTCTCCTGGAGGCGACTCATTGGTTGTTCTTTCTTGAGTTTCTGCATACACAGTGTACTCGCCACTGGTTGCTTTGCCTTTTCCTGGAACAACTATCAAGTAGAGTAGCTTTTGCCCTGGGGGAAGAAAAGGAGGGTGTCACAGCCCCCTAGGTGCCATTATGCTAGGGAGCTCTGACCGAGGGCTGTCTTTTCTTCAGGGCGGGCTAGGAGTATTTGTCCAACTGATGCCCATCCTCATTCTTATCCTCGTGTCAGCGCTCAGCCAGCTCATGGTGTCCAGCCCACCCTACAGTCTGAGCCCGAGACCGTGAGTACACACCCCTGGGCCAGCCCAGCACAGTAGGGAGCCTCAGTCCGCATCAGAGCGCTGCCTTCATCCTGATCTAGCGGGCTCCCAGGTGTAGTAGAGAAAGCTGGCTTGGGTCATGAAACATGCTGTCTCTGAGCTGAGCCTCTTCGACTTTTGGGGATCACGGCTCCTCAAAATACCGAAGAAATTCCAAGCCTCCCCTTGAGGCAACATGTGGTCCTGGGTGACTTAGAAACGTCCGTCCCACCGTCCCACCAAAGGAGTGTAGTCAGTCAAGGGGGTGGCTTACATCCTAGCTTCTGTGTTGAGAGCTATGACCCCAGATAAGTTGTGTAACCTCCATTCTGTCATCTCTGAAATGGGAACAATAGCGTTCACCTACTTGTAGGAATTAATGAGTAACACATGTAAGATGTGTAGCTCATTGCAAGTGCTCAGCAATGTTTGTTGAGTGGATACTCAATCTCAACTGCCAGTGGTTAACTTGGGTGAGTTAGTTGACCCTCGAAGGTGTCAGTACCTCTCTTTTCCCAGTACCTGGGAACAGTAGGTTCTCAGCTGCTGCTGATGCAAGCCCAAAGCTCCAATCCCTTGGCCTGTCCACTGCCTGAGGCCCCAGCAGGCTCCCTCAGCCAGCAGGGGGCAGAGTTGGCCTCTGCTCCTACAGCAACCCTGCTTACCTGGAGCCAGATGGAATCCCTCGGCAGCAGCTAGAGACAGATAAAAGAATGCTGTTTGCTGGAGCTGCCCTCCCTGGAGCAGTGACTCCTGTTGGGTGTCATGGCTTCTCCTCCTGCCTGCAGATCCTGTGGCTACAGCTTCTTTCTGACATTTTGTTCCTTTTTGGTGGTTCTCCTGGAGTTGAGAATGAACTCATAACTCATGCTAACACACCATTTAGGGACACAGCTCATCATTTTGACCCAAGGCTCAGAATTCTAGGCAGGCCCTGGGCATCCTTGATCTTAGAAGCATGGAGGATGGAGTCTACACCCTTGCCAAGACCAGCTTCCCAGACCAGCTCCTCTCCTCAGAAAGGGCTTCTCCCCACATGCCCCAGTTCTCAGCAGCGCCCCTAAAGGTGTGGTTTGCCATAGGCTGGACTATTCATGCAGGGAGGCGGGGTACTTTGCCTTCGCTGCAGACCTTCATTTTAGGGAGCCAGCAAGTTCCTGCTGCAGTGTGGGAGGGAACCAGCTGTTCTGTGGCCTGTGTGACACCTCCTGCCACTGGGCCATCACCCTTCCAGCTGCCCACTTTGTGCCTGGTGTGTTTCTGGTCAGGTCAGTGGGCCATGTCCACAAGCGAGTCACTGACCACCTGAGCGTCGTGTACTATGTGGCAGACACCTTCTCTGACGAATACACAGGCTCCAGCCTCAAAACAGTTGAACGGAATGTGGAAGATGACTATATCGCCAACCTCCGAAACAACTGCTGGAAAGAAAAGCAGCAGAGTGAGTACACACGTGCATGTTCATGTGTGTGTTTGTATGTGCGTGCAGATCCGCGTGCATATGTGTGTACGCATGCGTGTGTATGCATATGTGTGTGTACAAGTGTGTACCTGTGATACACGTGTGTGTTCTCAAGCATAGGAGGGAAGGGGTAGTAGTAGTGGTGGTGGTATTTGGAGAGGGGTAGCCAGGAACCATGTCTGAGACTAGAAAAACCCTACTGAAGTGCCACCCAACACCTGGCATTGCTCTGTGCCAGCCACCTCACTGCCAAGACTTAAACTCCACTCCTGGGGTTCCCCTGGGGCTAAAAACCCAGGGCCATTTGATTTCACTGAGGTCTTCGTGAGTCACTGGTGCCTGTCATTGTAGTTGCTGGAGGTGCGTGTGTAAGAAATAGATTGGAAACCCTTGGCCACCCACTGATCATGTAACCAGTCTATCTGTGGAACGCAAGGACAGTAGCTTCTCTCCTTGGCTGGCCTCCCCCAGGTTGTGTGAGAAAGTGCCTCTGTCACCTCTCTTCCTAAGGAGGGCCTCAGTCTCTGCTTCTCCAAACGTTCTCCCCCACTGGGAGGCCAGCCCTGCCCAAGCTCCTGGTCCTATCTCTCTGTTTCACCATGGGGTCAGGCAGGTAAACCCCAGGAGGTCCTTGAGCCCTGACATTGCCCTGTTTCTTTTCAGAGGAAGGCTTGCTGTACCGGGCCCGCTACTTTGGTGACACAGACATGTACCACAGAGCACAGAAGATGGGCACCCCGAGCTGCAGTCGGCTGTCAGAGGTGCAGGCCTCCCTGCATGGATAGTTCTGGGCCAGCCACACCACCCAGGTCCAAGTATGAGCCAGGACTGCTTCTTTGCTGCAACTCCTGGCAGCTTTGGCCTTGGTCATGAGCAAAGGGGTGGGGGGGACGGGACAAAGGGAACCTGGTAATGATGGCAGAGAATCTCTTCACATCCTGACACTTCCAACGTCCTCCAGAGATGAGGCAGCTCTGGGCACTCAGGTTACCCTGCCCTGTTGACCCTGTTCTCCCCTACCCTCTTCAGGGGTCCAGGACAGGATACACAAAAGGCAGACAGAATGGGAACCTTGTGGTTCCTTCACCTACTCCAATAATCAAGCCTCCTCAGCCCTTCCCCAGGCCTAGCTTTTATTGCCTGTGCCATCACATATTACTGAGTCTAAAACAGCCCCTCACGTACAGTACCCTGCTGAAGATGGGAAAATCCATGGGGAGTCTGTAGGCAGGAACCCATTGCCCTTTAGTCTTCCAGGCAGGAGGAAATGGAGACAGATGAAGCAGCCCATCGGCAGGCAGGGGGGGGCTGTGGCCCCCCACCCCCACCACCACCACCACCCCAGGCCCCCCCCCTGGTGAGATCTGAGGCCCTCACTCCAGTGCTCTGCACCTGGGAGCCACAAGCATCCGGCCCCACCCAGGCGTCTCTCCTGTGGTCTTGAAGAAGGGAACAAAAGGTCACAAGTTCAGGGTCAAAAGCAGCCGCTGAGCACAGGAGGGGTGGGGAAAAAATGAAAGTTGCTATTAACAGGCACCCCACCCCTTCCCCTGCATATGGGTAATGGGCTCAGTTCCCAGTGGTCAGAGCAGGTAGCCTGGCTCAAGCCCAGCAGAGTGTGGGCAGAGCCAAAAGTTCTTTGCATAGATACCCTGCCTACCCCCTCCTTTGCTTGTGTCCCCTGACACAGAGCCAGCTGCAGATTGCTCCAAGGCCACTTGCTAGCTAATGTCAGCTCTGGGGCAGCTCATCCCACTGCAGAGACCAAGCTCATCCCACCAGAGCTTGGTCAGGGCTGGCTGCTCGACTGTAGGGCTGAGCTGGAGGTGCCTCCTCCAGCTGCTCACCTAACATATCTCTCTCTCCTCCCCAGACTATGAAATCCCTGGAGAATTTTTGGTGACACACACTGAGCCAAGGTGATGGACTGTATATTTAAGAAAAGACATACACAGAAAAAAATGAAAATGGACCTGAAGGCTGAATACTACACAGCTGCCCTCTCTCAACCAGTGAATGCAGAAAGCTCTGAGGACGGACAGAAAGCCTGCTGCAGGGTTGCTTCCTCCCCTCCCGGGGCTGGCAAGAAGCTCCACATCACGGGCTCCTAGGATACAGAAACCATGGCAACGAAAGTAGAATGTAAAACTTGCAGCAAATGTCTGTGGGGAAGGACTGGGGGAGGGGACACCCCACTGTCTGTCCTCCTCCTCCCAGGAGCCAGCACCAGTCACCTCTCCTTACAGGAGAAGCCAGGCAGAGGCATGGGCCAAGGAATAGAGAAGAGAGAATTCCAGAGAATGTAACTTAGAAATGCATATGTATGTATATATATCTATTTATATGTAAATAGACATATATAAAGATATATATATATATATATATATAAAGTCTTTTTTAACTGTGCAGGGATTGGGTTAAGATGTTCAGCTGATTTCTTCCATATTTTAGAAGATAAGGGCTGTTTGGGAAGGCATCCTGGTTTTCAAAAGCTAGACAGTAGCTGAAGCTGACAGCATACGGAAAGTCAAGTCGGATGCTTTTAGCACCACGCTTAGCCCAGCCTGGCTTTGATGGCAACAGTAATCATGGTGGTATAAATCCATAGAAAACTTCCAAAAGTCTCCAGGCTTATGGTTAAGGTAGGGGGAGCAGGTGGGGCCAGAGAAAGGTACCCCTGGAGATAGATAGCTGGTCAGTATTGGGCCATGGTAGAGACCCCCAGAGGGCAGCTCCTCATGCTGCCTCCTCCTTGGCCAGCCTCAGGTGGACTCTCTCCCCTCGTGCCCAGGAGTCCTGCAGCCAGTCCCCTACCGTACCTCTTCCCCACCCAAGTCCCCAGGTGGGTTTGCCTTACAGGTGCCACAGGGCACAGCTCCACCATTGCCAACAGGTTTTCTCTAAGTTGTGCACCAAGGACTCCAGAAGGCTCTTCATCCGGGAGTTGACCCAGGACCCAAGTGTAGCCCAGCTTGTGAAGAAGAGCCTGTGTCTGTGGGCACTTGTCTTTCCTCCACAGTGGACTCCACCAGGCCTCTGCTCACTGGCTGAAGAATCCACAACAACCACAATGGCTTTCCCCTTCAGATGAGGAATTGTCTCAAAACAGCCATTGCTGCCAGGGGAAGCAGGGAGCTTTATTTAACCTGCTTCCAGGATTATAATGGGCCTTTGAGAATCGCCATTTCTCCCAGTTTTCCTGTGGCGGTGGATATGGCGTTCTACCTGCCGTCTTCCAAAGCCTTACTTCCCCAAGCTGCCAGCCCGGAGGTGGCATCTGTCCCCCCAGGGTTTCTCTCTCTCTCTCTCTCTCTCTCTCTCTCTCTCTCTCTCTCTCTCTCTCTCTCTCTCTCTTTCTGATTTAACCCCTAACAAATAGGATTCTTGCTGGTAAAGGAAGTTTGGTTAGGAATGTCAAATCTGGTTTTTTAAAAAACAAGGTCCCATCCTGTAATGAAGAGGCTACCCTGGCCTAGAGAGAGAATGAGAACTGGACACAGACCAGAGTACCCCACCCACGGTGGCCCTGGTGCTCTGCCTCCACCACCCCAACTGTCTGGTCTTGGTACCTGTCCCTAGAGGGGCTGAGCCATGTGCAATAAGAACATAGATCCTAAAGGATCCCCTGAGAAGCTGTATTTCTTGAATTAGAATTCTGATATTGTACATCTATAAATATATGTTTACTATGTGATTGGCAGTGGTGGGTCTGCATTGAGCAGGGGAATGAGGCAGGGAACACCCACCAGTTGCTACTGACACCATCCACCCTGCACCTCAGGATCTCAGATGCCTGTGGGGGCTGTAGAATATGGTGTCCCAGACATCAGTCCTAGATGGGGACCTGCCCACTACCCCTTGACACATTCTGTTTTTCCTGTCACTGGACTGGAGCCCACTCCTGGTCTGGGACATGCGGAAAATTCCCAAGTGAATCTTGCCATCTCTGGTCCACAGCCTCCTCTCCCTGGGAGGTGGGAAAAGTTAACACTGAGGCAGCCTCAGGCTCTGGGTGAGTGAGCCGCAGATCTGCCCGGCCGCCAGCCGTGAGTGGCGGGCCCAGGCCCCCCCCGCCGGCACGCCAGCCAAAGGCAGGCGGGCTGCCTGGTGGTGCCACCTCAGCCCGGGAGCTCATTGGCTCTCCCCGAGCAGGGTCACCGCAGCCTGCCCTGGCCTGCAAGCTGCCACTTGTTAGCTGCACTTGGCAGAAGGGTAGCCAGCTTTCTACCCCCCATCCTCCCTGACTGACTAAACAGCTCGGTGAGCCAGAAGGGGTGGGATGCCATCCATCTGCAGCAAAAGAGAGGCATTGAACAGTATGCTCCTCCCACTGTCAGGTGGCAAGAAAAGCCCTCTGGGCCTCAGGGACCTGCCCGCTATCTTCTAAACCCGCCCTGCCCAGGTCCGGGACAGGAGGGGCTCCTAGGGACAAGGAACAGGTACCTGGCCTGATTTTTGCCAGACAATCACGTCACCTGGCTGTCTGGGGCAGGTGTGCACAGTGCCAACATTTGACACTGGCTCAGGACCAGCTCCGAAGTCCCTATCTGGCCTCACACCGTTTGGCTGAGGGAGTCAGCCCATTTCCCAGAGCTGGAAACAGACTTGCCAGAGGGAGGTGATCCAAGGGTCTTCTGGAAGTTGTGTGTTCGCCTGTTTGGAGCTTAGCAAAATGATCATTCTGCAGACATTCACTGAAACCAAATTTATTGTGTTTGACATGATGGGGTGGGGTGGGATGGGTTGGGTTTTATGAGATAGCCTCACTGTACAGCTCTAGCTGCCATGAAACTGGTGTGGTTCAGGCTAGCCTTCAATTTGCAATAGTGAGCCTCCTGCCTGTGCTTCCCTGGTGCTGGGAATTACGAGTAATGTATCTGGGGCCTCTTAGGATTTTGAGTTTATTTTTGAGATAGGGTTTCTTGTAGCTATTTACCAAAGGCTGGCCTTGGCCTCCTGATCCTCCAGCCTCCACCTCCAGAGTGCTAGGATTAGGTGTGCACCACTACTCCAGGCCAAACCCATTCTTCAAGTGCTGCGTAAATTCAGGAACATGGACTAGGGTGAGAAGCCACGCTTGGAGAACAGGCATCAGCTAGGATGAATTACCCAGTCAAGCAAGTGACTCTCCTCAAAATGACATGGGTGTCCACCTGCTGTAAAGGACTGTGTCTCCCAGAAGCGGCATAGAAAACCAGTTATTAGTGTTGGTGTAGATTCCAGCTGCCTCACATTCAAGCCTGGTTTCGTATGTGCTTGCTGTGTAACCTTGGGCATGTTACTTAACCGCCTGTGCCTTGGTGTCATCATCTACACAGTGAGAAGGGCGCAGACACCGGGTTCATGGGGCAGTTGTGTGGAGCAGAGCAGGAGTTGGCTCCCAGGAAGCACTTCACACGGTGTCTGGTCACAGCAAGCTCCATCCAAGCGTGATTTGTCCTGTCAACAAAGATTACCTGATGCCAATGTCAAGTCCTGTTCTAGACACTGAGACCACAGAGATGACAGGATCACTGCTCTTGAGGAAATGGGCAAGATAGGAGTGAGTGTATCTGGTGGGTACAAGGCTTCTGACTGGGGCCTCTGGGATAAGAGGATTGATATTCATGGTGGAGAGATTCCTGCCAGACGGAGCAGTGTGACAGAGGCCTGAAGGTGAGGAGGGACTAGCAAGCACAGCCAGGGAAGAATATGTAGGCCAGTTCCCCAGTCTGTAATTATCACACTGGCCATACACAGTATTTGGGCAGAGAACAAAAAAAAAAAAAGTCACCAAGAATAAAAGTCCCCGAGCATCCCTGCTCCTGCCTGCCCCATGTGTCCTCCCACAAGCATCTCAGCCATCCTTAGTGCCCTTCCTGACCGGGCTCTGGGGGTGGTGCTGTAAGGCAAAAGAGAAATCATATGGGGAATGGGGAGACTGGGATACCATTTCCCCAAACTCCAGCAATGAATGTTCCTGAAGGACAGGGCCCAGGCCTCCTGTCACTTCCACAGCCAGTTGGGCAGGAAATAAAGGCCCAGGACACAGGACAGTCAGAGGCAGGAGGCAGCTGGCTAGGCTTACTCAGCCAGGCAACCCTGCCAAAAGCCCAAAGCTAAGGTTTTGTTTATGGAAAGGGGTGTGCGGTGCCACTCCTTACCCACCATGCCCTTCCCGCCCATCTGAGTTGATCTAAACAATGTTCCTAGGAAGGACAGGGTTGGCTGCAGTAGCTCAGACTCTGGGTGAGCTTTCCTTGAATGAGGTGCCTCCGTGGAGTTGGGACTGAGAAGGACAAGGGTGAGGCTTGGGGCTTTTGGGTGCTAGAGCTGGCAGCTCCAGTACCTTAACTAATTGTTCTCATCTTTCTGATGGACATGGGTGAGAAAACACAAGAGATAGGTACCTGAACCAACATAGGGTTGCTGAAGATGTCAGCCCAGACCTTATTCCCCCATCCTAACATCACTCAGATATTCCCCTGACCATGTCACTCATAATGATGTCCTGGTTCCACATAGCCTGCATGCCCTGGTATGCACATTGAAGCCTCAGCCACTGTCCCTGCCTCTTGCCTGGCTCCCTCCGTCTGCATCTTGGTGCTGCCCTTTCGCCTGCAGCTCATGTTGGATACCTGGATGCTGAGGTGCACAGATTGTTTTCCCTCAGCCTTCAGTGCCTGCCAACCTCCAGCCATTAGCTAAAGGTATCTGCATAGTTCCCAGCATCATCTTCCTCCCCTGGAATGATGGGGACTGGCACTATGCACAGTCCCTTCTGTGACCACACCCATCAGCTGTATGACTACAGAGTGGGGGTCCCAGGAAGAAGGCTGAGGAAGGAACAAAGCTGGAGGGCCAAAGGGACCCCTGGGCACAGAGACAGCTGTCTGCAAATTACTTGTGCCTTACCACCTCCTCTGCCAGGGTCACCTGTGGGCCACTTCGCAGCCATAAACTCAGACCAAGCTGTGTTCTTCTAAGGCAAAGGGCTCGCTGAATGGGAGACCTCATGACAAGCAGAGAGGGGTCTTTGGAGGGATCTTTCTCCTTTGTCCCACCTGCTGAGAAAAAGCAGGGTCCCACTGCAAATGCCCAATTCCTCTTCCTAAGAGAATCCAGGACCAGGAGCCAACTTGAGAAGGACAATGGCCAGAGAACAGCCACTGACTCCAGCATTCAGCCTGTGCCAGGTGGCACCACCCATGTCTGGAATCAGAAACAGTTCTGTTCTTGGCTTCCCCAAGTGTTGTCCTGGTCACCAACCTCCTGGTCACCTCTGGCATGCATTGCCACCTGCTGGCTACCAGCCCATGGCCATGTGCTCTAATATTGACTTTCTGAACCCCAAGCTCTGTTACTAGCAACATCAGAGGGCCACCACCAACACTGCAAGTACCATGCAGGTAGCAGTTGTGTCCTGTAAGGGGGTCAGCCTCTAAGGCACAGCCCTCCCACCTCACACCTGTCTCTGTTGGGCACTTTTTTGGAGCCATGCGTAAAAGTCCAGGTGGATGTCAAGGTCCAGTCCCAGCGGGAAAGAAAGCACTCGTCACTTGTACTGTTTGTAAAATTACATCATAATAATTTACCATCATCTTCCCACAGGCCTCCTCATTTATCATCTCCCGGCTGCCAGCCTCTGTCAGCCACCAAGCTTGCAGGTGTTCAGGTTCCTAGGCTGACTCAGGCCATCCAGGTCCTTAGTTCTGAATCTGCAAGGCCAGGAGTCCGTCCATCTTCAGGACCCTGAGCTCAGCCTGCACCAGCTTACTTCTGAAGGAGGGTAAGATCACAACCCAGAGGATCAAATTGCCTGACCTACATCTGCCAATATTAATAGCTCTAGAGCCTGGCGGCCTGGGCTGGAATAGTCTAGGCCGAAACACAATTCGAGGAACTGTTGACTTGGGTTTGTTCCCAGCCAGGCAGCTGGGAGTTGCATGGGACCAGTTGGGATAGGTGGGGGAGGGGGGTATAGGTGAGGGAAGGGAGCCCTCTGGCCTCTTACAGCTTCTCATTCTGTGTCATGAGAAACCAGGAGAATGGCCTGAAGACCAAATGTTACTCCAGGGTAGTGTTGATGTCAGGGCCTGTGCCCAGGCCGCTGGGACCCTGGGTGACCTGTGCACTGGGTTATACTGGGTCTGATGTAAGACCAGGCCTCCCCTCCTTCCCCAGCCCTGCTACTTGGCTTGCCCCAGGCTGACCAAAGCCCACACGACAGGCAGCTTTATCAGTAGAGGACAGTTCACTTTTCCTTTTTCTGCCATCCTTCCCTACCCTGACTTTCATGATGGCTACCTGTAGATGACATCGCCCCAGGGACAAACCAGGAAAATGTGAGCTGGACGAGGTGCCCAGACTATGCTTCCAGGAGAGAACCAGGGACAAGCTGCCCAGCTTTGGCACCCAGGGGCAGAACCCTGGAGCCCTTCTCTGCCAGATGCGATTCTTGAAGATGCCACAGATTCTTGTTGCCTTATTGATAGATTTGGTACTGGAGCTTCCCCGAGGAACTCAAGAAGCTGATGGGCCAGCTGCTGAGTAAGGTTTGAGGTTATAGAACTAGATTTCAAACCTAGGTAGGAGGTTCCAGAAACCCCAGAACAACAATGACAGCATCTGTACTTCCAGGCATGCGCAGGCAACGCTAAAATTAGTGGATTCTGTACAGAGGGGTTTTTCAGACACCCAAGTCCTTTGTGGAGG